AGTGGGGGGTACAGCCCAGGTGTCCCTGCCCAAGCCTCCCTCGCTAGCCCAGCGCGGAGGAATCCTAGTGGTCCAGACGCATGAGACCTCAAGGGGGGCCATTGAGCCAACCCCCCCACTGCGGCCAGAGAGCGGGAGGGGTCTTCTCCAATGGCCAGTTGAGTTGGCCCAGGACTGAAGTGAGAGGCTGTGCCTGGGGTCAGCACTGAGTGAAGGTTAGGACATCTGGACTCCAGGGGCCACCAAATCCCAGTGCCAAGACCACAGCCCTTCAGCCTGGTGTCTGTGGCACCCTCTGCCGTTGCTTCCACTCCTTGGGCTGGTCCCCTCAGGCCGCCATCACGGGCTTGTTCCCTACGCCCGCCCCTCAAATGTGCCTGTTCCCCAGGCCTGGCACCCTCCCCTGCCATCTGCTCTCCTGGGCAAGCTCCTCCACTCCGGGGGCTCCGGCTGCGCTCACATCCCGCTCGTCCTCCTGCCCAGACCCCTGGCCAGAGCCCCAGAGCCTGGGACCTGCCTGCTTCTCCGGCCTGTCTGGCTGGGAGGCTCATCGTGGCTGAACCTGAGCCCATCACCCCCCACCCTGACCCCTCCCTCTCCCCCCTCCCGTGTTCCCTGCCTCTGAGAACAGCACAGCCAGCCATCCAGCTCCTGAGTTAGAATTAGGAATCATCCAACGCACAGTCATGCTCGACACCTCCCTCTTACCCCCACATGGGATTGGTCATCAACTCCTATGGGTTTCATTTTCGGAAAGGATCCCCGCGGGCGCTCTTCTCTCAGCCACGGGGGCAGCATCTTAGGGCAGGGCCCGGCCCCTCTCTCGGATTCCCACAGCTGCCGCCCACTCCTCCGGTCCATCCCCCACACACTCCGCCACCAGAGAGACCTTTCTAAAGGGAGCCCACCCTGCCCAGACTCTTCCCCGCTGCCTGTTGCCCTCAGATGAAATGCTGACACCTCCGCTGGGCCTGGGCTTCGAGCGCCTGCCGGTCCCAGCCCCGCCTCCGTTTCTTGCCACACACCCCACATGCCCAACACTGCCCACAGCCAGCAGGCCGTGCTGGCCCACGAGTGCTTTTCCTTCCCCCAGCAAGTTTTTCTTGCCCTCTCGTCAAAATCCTCCCCTCCCCTCCCCTCCTGGCCCACCTCCTCTGGGAAGTCCTCCTTCCCCGTTCTTCCACTAGGACGTGCTGACTCCGCCCCCTCCCCAGTTTCCATGGCACTTTTCTCTCTGGGATCCATCTGCTTTCCTATCTGCTCCTCCCCTAGACTTGGAGCTCCTCAAGGGCATGGGCTGATCTTCTCCATCTCTGTGTGCCCAGCCTTGGTGGATGGAGTTGGCAGCCAGACACATCTGCTGGCTTGAAGGCTGATGGAGTTGAAATGAGAGAAAGAGCCTTGCATGCCAGCTCTGTCCCCAAGCCCCTGCTCCTGGGTGCCCCAGTCACCTCCCCCCAGGACCTTCCCACTGCCAGCATCTCGCCCCTGCGTCCCTCCCACCAGCTGCCCTCAGCACAGGGGGGAGCCTGGGGGAGCCCGGGGGTCCTGGGTCTGTGACAGCCTCCACTGGGAGGGTCACGGGGCCAGCCCTCTCCAGGGAGTGAGCCGAGTGGCCGTGGCCCTGGCCCGTGGCCCTCCACTGTGGTGGTGAGCAGCAGCCTCTCCCTCCGATTTTCATGCGGGCCTTGGTGCTTCAGTGAAAGCCGGCATGGGAAGTTGCTAATAATGGCACTAAAATAAAATATGCTACATCTGTTATGGGTAGCAGAACAAAATTAGCTGCTCACACCTCTGACATCCAAGATGTCTTAACTTAAAATACTCCTTGGCTTACTTTACATCATTTACTGATTATATTTAAAAGAAATACAATTTTGCAATTACTGTTCTTTCCAGCGTGATATCTATGCATCATTTTCCTTTTATGTTTATATATTTCTCCTTCATTAGTGCAGTCTGAAGGGTGATTAGGATTCTTCAAACATTTTACAGAGGTTAAACGTTGATTAAGATTTAATTATTACTGTAAATAGCTTGGAATGACATATGGTGCAAAAGCCTGACATATGTGCATTTGAATAAATGAAGTGCTATTTCCCAGGATGCCTCAGTAGCTGTTTAACAGCTTTCCCGAAGGGTTATGTTACACCTCATGGTAAGATTGCTGGGATGTTATATTTTGTTGGTTTTTGCAGCTGAAAGCTAAGAACAGTTTTCCAGTTTTTTAAAAACATTGAATATTTTAAATACCTAAATTGTTTTGCACAAATTTTTGCTAATTTGTCTAACTAGGTTAAACATTTTCAAAAGCATTTAGATTTTTAAGCGTGGGCGCTGTGCATTGTGTCAGTGGCAGCGTGGGGACGAGGCGAGCGGGTGGAGTGGAGGGAACTCAGAGGCCAGCAGGGGTGGGGACGGGGGAGGTGGTTTGAGGCGAGGGGGTGGGGAAGAGGCCCAGGCCTTGAGCCTAGCTCTTGTCTCTTTGGCCCTCTCAAATGGCCAGAGCCTGGGTATTGGCGTACCAGGGACTACAGGGGAAGGGTCCCCCTTCTCCAGAAACTCTGCTATGCCCACCGCCCTAGTCCACATCAAGCCCCCTCTTGTCTGGCCTCTGACATGCGCAGCCCGTGTTCCACTGAGTTCTTTGCAGCCAGCGCTGGTCTGTGGCACCCTCCCCTGGGCCCCAGGGTCTCCGGCCAGAGCACCATTAGGTGGCAGCATGGCGGGCTGGATTGGGGCAGGGGGTGGATTCAGTTCCATTTTAGATAGGTTTCGTTAAGGCGCCCAAGAGACATCACAGGAATGTTCAGTAAGCAGTCTGTTGTGGACCCAAGACTCAGGGGGAAATGTGGCTGGAGACTCCTCAAATCTGGGAGTCACAGGGAAGGCTGTGTGTGCAGGGAAGAGAGCCCAGCCAGGGACCCTGAAAAGTGTCCAGTGGATGTCACACACAAAAAAGGGGGGTTAGCAGTGACCTTGGAGAGAAAGATTTTTTGTGGAACGTGGTGGGAACGGAAGCCAGATTTCCTGTGGGTTGAAAAGCCAGTGGGAGGTGAGGAGGTGGAGGTGGCTACGGCTGTAGATAGTGCCTTAAAGGAATGTGGTTGCTGGGGAGGAGAGACACCAGGCAGAAGCTACACTGTGTGACGTGGGGTTGAGGGGAGGTCTTTCTTAGACAGAAGGTGCTTGTCTGTGTGGAAATGCTGGAGGGCAGGAGTCAGCAAGAGAGAAGATGGGGAAGAGGGAGGACAACCCCGGAGTGGGCTCCTGGAGTGGAC